GCTTTACCTTGCTAGTTAAAGTCACAGCCCAAGTAGTCCTGTGGGTCTTGCTTAGCATAATTGTGAGCACAGAATGCTATATTGACCTTTAAAAGAGGTAATAATACTATATTTATGATCCTGTTTTTATGAAATCTTGAGGGCAGTTAGCAAATTTCCTGTGAAATGTGAAGACATCCTTCACTTTATAAAAAATATTGCAGAAACAGCAAAAACAAAAGAGCTATACAAACAAAAACATAAGAAGGAAAAATAATTGCATTTAAAAATCCCAGTGATTGGGGCTGGGAAGGTGGCTCAGTGGTAGAGCACATGCCTTGCATGCTCGAGGCCCTGGGTTCAATTCCTCAGCACCACATAAGCAAAAAGACAAAAGCCGGAAGTGGCGCTGTGGCTCAAGTGGTAGTGTGCTAGCCTTGAGCTGAAGAGCTGAGGGATAGTGCCCAGGCCCAGAGTTCAGGCCCCACGACCTGATCCAAAAAAAAAAAAAATCCCAGTGATTGGGGCTGGGGGTTTAGCCCAGTGGAAGGGCGCCCGCCTGGCGCATACAAGGCCCTGAGTTCGGTCCTCAGCCCTGGAAAAAAAAAATCCCAGTGATTAACCTGTGGCCATAAATGTTGGCCATAGAATTTGGAATTCTAATTAAGCTTAAGTAAGTACATACCTGCTGCTCTTCAGTTTGTTTGTGCCTGACTAAAGAATATGTTGCCAGATATATTCTTGGAATTGTTGTGGAGACTGTGACCTTGTTTGGCCACCAGAGCTGATTCTAATTTGCCAGGACTTTTTTTTTTTTGGTCAGTCATGAGGCCTGGGGCCTGAACTCTGGGCCTGGGCGCTGTCCCTCAGCTCAGGCTAGCACTCTACCGCTTGAGCCACAGTGCCACTTCTGGCCTTTTCTGCTTATGTGGTGCTAAGGAATCGAAACCAGGGCCTCATGCGTGCAAGGCAAGCACTCTACTACTGAGCCAACTTCCCTGTCCTGCCAAGACTTTTTATTAAGTGCCATTTTAAAGACTTTCTATGTTAAAGAAGTAAAAACAGAACCAAAAATTCCTTATACTTTCCTTTGTCTAAATTAAGTTTAACATGGACTTTGATCTGGCTCATTGATTATTGTTGAAATTATTTGTGTCTGCTTAATTTTCTTGCTTTTGTTTCTCTTGTATCTTTGATTACAAAATAATCTTCATTAAGTTCTTTTTTTGCATACTTTAAGCTTTTTATTGTTGCTGTTCTTTTCTAGGTGCGTTTAATTAGGCATTTCTTTTTTTTTTGTTGTTGTTGGTTGTGGGGCTTGGACTCTAGGCCTGGGCACTGCCCCTCAGCTCTTCAGCTCAAGGTTAGCGCTCTACCACTTGAGCCACAGTGCCACGTCCAGCTTTTTCTACTTATGTGGTGCGGAGGAATTGAACCCAGGGCCTCATGAATGCAAGGCAAGCACTCTACCACTGAGCCACCTTCCCAGCCCTAATTAGGCATTTCTTATATCAAAAATTTTTTTCAAATATTTTTTGAGAGTCTAAAGGAATTTTATGTTCTCTTTATTTACTGATTTGGAATTCTGCCACATGACCAACATACTTTGTTCTTTGTAAAGCCACATTACCTTTTTGTTCTGAAGCTTTTTGGTTTAAAGGCTTAATATTAAAAACAAAAACAAACTTGGCCCAGCACCCATGTCTCACGTCTGTAATCCTGACTACTCAGGAGGTCGAGATCTGAGGATCATGGTTCCAAGCCAGCCTGGGCAGGAAAGTCTATGAGACACTTATCTCTAGTTAACCACCAAAACAAAACAAAACAAAAAACATAAATGGAGCTGTGGCCCTGAATCAAAGCCCCAGGATGGCAGCCCCATCCCCAAAAAAGTATCATCTGTAAAAATATAAACCCATCCTCTTTTTGGGGGTGTGTGCTGGTGTAGGGCTTGGGTTTTCTGCTCACACTGGTACTGTATCCCGTGAGCTAAGCCTCCACGTGCAGCTCTTTTGCTGGTTAATTGCAGATGAAGTCTGGACTTTTGTGTCTGGCCTTATTACAACTTCAATCCTAGGTCTCAGCCTCTTGAGTAGCTAGGATTACAGAGGTGAGACACCAGCACCCAGCTCTTTATTTATTTTTAATGCTTCTGTAACACAAAGGAATGGCTTCTGGGCCTTAGTCCCTTGAAGTTGGAAGATTCGTTAGCATTCAGCTGGCTGGGAGCCTTCTGCTCTACTTGGATAGGAATCATGGGTAGAGGAGGAGAAGCTCCTGGAGCTATTCTGGGCCCTCAGCATGTTGTTGTAGTCCTTAGCAAGTAGCACCTGGAGGATGACTGGAGACTGCAGTAGGTGGTAACCTTTAGCTTTGGTGAAGGTCTGTAAAAAGTGTGCAGCTTCTGCACCTCAGGGGGTAGGTCCCAGGGCACTTGACTTTAGAAGCATGGGCATGTGTTAAAGCTCTCTTCCTGTGCCCCGGGTCTATATTTCCTTCTTTCTGGCTCCCTAGCCTTTTCTTCGGACTTTCTTTAGCCTCAGCTCTCATTTTCTGTCTACTTTGACTGTTCCTCATTGTGTCTGCCATTTGTGCCTCCTGTTGCTCCTACTGTGGGCATTGTCGCTTTGCTGCTGGATGGTGGCTCTGGGAGGTCCGCAGTCACTATAGCTGCCATCACCATCAGCTCCCCAGTCACTATAGCTGCCATCACCATCAGCTCCCCAGTCAGCTGCCTCGGCCACGGTTGCCGGCGCCGCCACAGCTTGTACTTGTTCTTCTTTCCATCTTCACAGCTCATCTGCTCTACTAATGAAGGAAATTAAAATCGACAAAGACCACGAGAGAGAAGTCTTTACAGGACGAAATGTTACAACACCGGTAGTTAGGGGAGTGTAACAGCACAGGAGAGTGTCTTTTGGCTGACTCATAAAGTGAGGTGAACCAGCCTTGCTTATATTACAGCCAGAAAAGGGGATGTGGCAAGATTGTCTCCACCAATTATGACCATTCCTTCATCCAAATGAAGGACTGTTGGCACCAGTCATGCCACATGAAGGGCACTGACCTGTCATCAGTTTGCATCAGTCACCAACCTCCCTACTGGGCCATAGTAGGAAGTGCTGCTGCTGCTGCGGTCTGGATAGAAATGGCTGTAGAGTCAAAAGTTCACTGTCTTGTGAAGGTAGAAAATGCAGTTCCTTTGGGAACGAGAGTTGTACTTCATCATGTAGCTTCCTCGACATGTTTGTGGCGTGCTCGTGGAAGCTGGTGCTGGCTTGAGGGCAGTCTGGCTGGCTGCTTGGCTGATTGTACTTTGCTCAAGGGCGCTGGGACACCAGAAAAGGCTCTAACAGCTGTCAGTTAGGGAATGAAGTCTTCTCAGTCCTCAACCTCATAGTTTATGTAAAGAAAAGGTAAAAAATAAAAGCAGGGTGCTGGTGGTTCCCTCTTGTAATCCTAGCTACTCAGAAGGCTAAGTTCGTCTGACAATCGTGGTTTGAAGCCAGCCTGGGCAGGAAAGGTGATGAGACTCTACCTCCAATTAACCACCTAACAAATAGAAGTAGAGCTGTGACTTGAAGTGGTAGAGCACTAGCCTTGGGCAAAAAAGCTCAGCAGTAGTGCCCAGGCCCTAAGTTCAAGCCCTACAACTGACTTAAAAAAAAACAAAAAAGCAGCCGGGCACCAGTGCCTCACGCCTGTAATCCTAACTGTTCAGGAGGCTGAGATCTGAGGATCACAGTTCAAAGCCAGCCCAGGCAGGAAAGTCCATGAGACTTTTATCTCCAATAAACCACTAGAAAACCGGAAGTGGCACTGTGGCTCATGCGGTAGAGCACTCGCCTTGAGCTGAAGAGCACAAGGACAGCGCCCAAGCTCAGAGAGTTCAAGCCCCATGACCGACAAAAAAAAAAAAAAGCATAAAATAAAAAGGCTTATTAAAGGCTTAACATTAACAATATTTAACAGCTTGACTCCTGCCCCAGTGCCTCAAGTAAAGCTGGCTCCCTACCGTCTGATGTGTCACATCTTATTTCTCAGGCAATAATCCTTCCCTTGAATCAGGTAGATATTTGAAGAGAGAGAGAAAAAAATCTTTATTTCAGTGTTGAAATTTGAAGTAAACTGGGCAATTGACCTTTTTTGGCAGTACTAGAGTCTGAACTCAGTTCCTCTGTACTTGCTAGACCACTTGCTACTTTACCAGTGATCCACACCTCCAGGTTATTTTTGAGATAGGCTCATACCTGGACTCTGATCCATGTATCTTTTTTTTTCCCCCCCTTTGGTCATGGGGCTTGAACTCTGGGCTTGGGCACTATCCCTGCATTCTTCAGCTCAAGGCCACTGCTCAAGCCACAACGCCACTTCGGGTTTTCTAGTGGTTTATTAGAGATAAGAGTCTCATGGACTTTCCTGTCCGGGCTGGCTTTGAACCATGATCCTCAGACTCAGCCTCTTGGGTAGCTAGGATTACAGGCGTGAGCCACCGGTGCCCAGCTGATCCATGTATCTTAAGCTGCCCATTGTAGCTGGCATGAAAGGCATGCACTACCATGCCCAGTTGAGATGTATGATCTTTTATTCCCAGGCTGCAATCTTTTAATCTCTACTTCCCAAGCAGCTAGGATTATAGGTATGTACCACCAGTGCCTTCCAGATAATTGCCTTTTTAATAGCTGTAACATACTATAACTCTAAAATAAAATCCCTGGAGAATTTAGAAGGGTTCTGAGCACTAGGAATAAAGATGAGGGAGCCCCAGGAGACTGTGACTTGCCAGATTTTTTTTCCCCCCCAAGACAAGGTCTCACTATGTAGTCTCCCAAATACTGGGATTATACGTGTGCACCACCATTCTTAGTTTGCCAGATGTTGCTTTTGTGTGTGTGTGTGTGTGTGGCACTGGGGTTTGAACTCTGGGTCCTGTACTTGCTAGGAAGGCACCCTGCCACTTGAACCATTTCATCAGCCATTGCCAGACATTTCAATTCCTTTTTCCTCTTTCGTTTTCCTTAGGACCAAATAATAAGCTGAGCAAGCTCTGACCATTGGCCTTCCACTCACCAGGATCTTCTACCTAGCTCTCTCTTTGTGGCCCATGTGCTGCATCCTTAGCCGTCAGTGTGCAACCGGCCCCCAACGCAATGTGTGTTTGTCAAACCATGGAAGTGGGGCAGTATGGCAAGAACGCAGGTCGGGCCGGAAACCGGGGAGTCCTCCTGGAGCCCTTCATCCACCAGGTGGGCGGACACAGCAGCATGATGCGCTACGACGACCACACTGTGTGCAAGCCCCTCATCTCCCGGGAACAGCGCTTCTACGAGTCCCTCCCTCCTGAAATGAAAGAGTTTACCCCTGAATACAAAGGTTAGTCACTCGGCATTTCCATGAGAGTAGCAACTTTGTTTGGGTTTATGCTTTCTTGGCTCGGTTGTCCTGGTTTTGTCATGTGATTGTAGGTCTGTGTGCTGTACAAAATGAGTGCTGACAGTCTCCCAGCTCCCAGGATGGCTTGTGTTGAGATTTAGTGACTGACTGTTTTGTTTTTTATCAACAGGAGTGGTCTCAGTCTGTTTTGAGGGGGATAGTGATGGTTACATCAACTTGGTGGCCTACCCTTACGTGGAGAGTGAGACTGTGGAGCAGGATGACACGCCCGATCGGGAGCAACCTCGGCGCAAACACTCCCGCCGGAGCCTGCATCGTTCAGGTAGTGGCAGTGACCACAAGGAGGAGAAAGCCAGCCTGTCCCTTGAGACCTCGGAGAGGTGAGAGAAGGGGGAACAAAGCTGCGGGTGCAGGTCTAATTCTGAGGGCATAAGCGCGCAGAGGCAAGCGCACCACCACAAAATGCAGTGCCCTAGAGAATTGAGTATCTATCCATACAGTGCACAGAGATGTGCTTAGCATGAACCTAAGATATGGATGGAAACATCCAATGTCCATCAGCTGGTGAATGGATGAAAAAATAGTATGGAAAATTATTCGTCCATTAAAAAAAGGATTGGAGTACTGATACGCTACAACATGAACAGATCTTGAAAGCATTAAGTAAAGGAAGATAGACACGACACCACATTCTACTGTATGATTGTTTATTTAAAAAGATTAGGAAGCCAGGCTCTGGTGGTTTATGCCTGTAATCATAGCTACTCAAGAGGCTTTCAATCTGAGGATCATAGTTTAAAGCCATCCTGGGTATGAAAGTCCATGAGACTCTTATATCCAGTGAACCACAGAAAATTGGAAGTGGCTCTGTGGCTCAAAGTGTTAGCCTTGAGCAAAAAAGCTCAGGGATAGTGCCCAGGCCCTGAGTTCAAGTCCCACTACTGAAAATAAATAAATAAAATAATTAGGACAGGCAAACCCATATATAAAGAGAGCAGGCGAGTGTTAGCTTTCTGTTGGTAAAGGATCATTAGAGTTAGTGTAAAAGAGGGTGGCTACTAATTACAAAGGGCTTGCTTTTGGGGTGAAAAATGATTCTGAAAATTACAAACTTGTGAATATCCATACCGAAGGGGGAAAAAAATCCCACTAAATGGTAAAATCATGTGGACTAACAATAATATGAGCTTCCAAACCAAAGTGAAATAAAAATTATACAGTTAATTTTATTAAAAAAGTCTTAGCAAATAAAGTATTCTGCGATGTGTTTGGAAGTTGAATTTAGGGTGTGCACTGTGGGTGTAGCTCAGTGGTAGAATGCTTGTCTGGCATACATGGAGCCACTGTGGGTTCCATACCTAGCACTGAAAAAAAAAAGTGATAAAGTTGAAATTGGGCATTTTCTTACATGTTAGATGTGGTAGTGGGTTCAGTTCATTGATCCATACTGCCCATCCCAGCTCTCAGAGCTTTTTCAGGACCCAGAGCATCCTGGTGTTCTTACTCCCACCAGGAAGAGGTCCCTTGTATCAAGAAGACAGTGCCCTACTTCATACAGAGTCCATGTGACTCGTCCCACAGTTCTGGAGGGCAGAGTGGCATTTGATACTGCGGTTGCGCTGCCCCGCTGCTCTGAGCCACAGGCTTGCTCCACAGTTGTAGGGCATGTGGCTTCAGCAGTGGAGTGCTGCTGTAGGCTTACCAGTGTGAAAACCAGCAATGCCAGTTACTTCAAAAGGTTTGGTTGGAGCATAACAAAATTGTGATAGTTTCACTGTTTTCATTTGGAGTCATCTTTCTGTCAAAACCTCTTGGTTTGATTTATTTTCAGAATAAAATTCTCTTCCTCTAATGGCTTCAAGCTTTCCAGCAAACCTTACTTAGATAAACACAGGTACTGGCCTGCTCAGGGTAGTCCATCTTGACTTTTTTTTTTTTAAGTTGTAGCAAGGATTTATTTTAGTATGACAGAATTAAAGTAGGGAGAAGCATTTCCTCCTCATCACAAAGGAAATGGAATTACTATTTTTTTTCCCCTCTTTCTACAAAGCATTGCTGCAGGTAGACATTTGTAAGCATGATAGCATATACTTAAAAAAAAATTGTATTAAAGGAAGATCTTCTAAATGTTCTATGTAGACCAAAACAGGACAATTATTCCCATCCTTAACAAGAAAATTCCATGCTCTACCCTGTGTATTTATTGTGAATCTACATCTTGCCTTGTATAGTTTTTGTCATAAGATATGAATGTTGATCATGTAATTTTATACAAATAATTATTTTTTCAGGCAGTTTTCAGAGACACAAGAGCACTACTCCAGATTATTGTCTCACGTATCTGGGCCTCTGTGCCACCTGTTAGCAGAGCCTGAAGGAGGCAGGTTAGACTTGATCTGACCCTCCTCTCCCCTGTCTCCCTGATGATAACTGGCCTAAGTCCCTTAGTGATGTGTGTCTGTATGTGTGTTCTTCCTTTCTAGCTCCCAGGAGGCAAAGAGTCCAAAGGTGGAGCTACACAGCCACTCAGATGTCCCTTTCCAGATGCTAGATGGCAACAGTGGTGTGAGTTCTGAGAAGATCAGCCATAACCCCTGGAGCCTGCGCTGTCACAAACAGCAGCTGAGCCGCATGCGCTCAGAGTCTAAGGACCGAAAGCTCTACAGTATCCTTGTCACGTCTCCTTCAGTAGTGCTTTCAGGTCTATGGAGCCTGTGTCATGGCTATCTCTGGAGCCTGACTGAAGTTCTCTTCATTTAATAGATTTTTCATCTTCTTTATCTTGTGTGTGTGTGTGTGTGTGTGTGTGTTCATGTGTTCGTTTGTATTGGCACTTGAACTCGGGGCCTTGTGAATAGCTTTTGCATTCAAGGCTTGAGCCATATCTCCATTTCCAGCTTTTTGCTGGTTAATTGGTAAGGAGAGAATCATTGACTTTTATGCGCAGGCTGGATCTCAGCCTCCTGAATAGCTAAGATAACAAGCATCAGCACCAGTACCCAGCCTTTTTCTTACTTTGATTACTGTAGTTTTTATTTATTTATATTTATTTATTTTGCCTTTTTGATATGGCAAGAATAAAGCTTAAAATTTGGCAGTCTGTAACAGTGCTGTGGGATATTTTTAAATGGTCCACTAGTTTGAAACCCTGAGAAAATGTCAATATTAAATTCTAAAAAAAAAATTTTTTTTGGTGCTTGAGATTGAACCCAGGGCCTTCTGCATGTTGAACACTGAGATATACCCACAACCTTTTTTTCTTTATTTTTCTGGTAGGATCTTGTGTCTTTGCCCAGAGCATTCTCAAACCATAGTCTTCCTACCTACTGCCTCCTGAGTATTTGGGGTCACTGGAGTACATCACTATGCCTGACTTAATTGCTTTTTCCTCCCTTCCCTTTCCTCATCTTCTCTTCCCTCTTCTCCCTCCCCCTCACTGCCTTCCCACTTCCCTCCCTCCCTTCCTCTTCTCTTCAATGGTAGTAAAGTTTAAACTCACAGCCTGCTATGCAGGTCCTCTACCACTTGAATCATATCCCCAGCCCTCTGGCTTAGTTATTAAAATATGGAGTCTTACTCCTAGGCAGGCTTCCAACCTCTATCCTCTCAATCTGTCTCTCAAGAAGCTAGTATTATAGGCATGAACCACTGTGCCCAACTCCAAGATATTTATTTATTTATAGATATTTAAGTCAAGCATTTTCTAAAATTTTCAATTATGACCGTTAGAATTTAGTTTGCTTTTTTTAAAAAAAAAAATCATGGGGCTTAAACTTGGGGCCTAGGTGCTGTACCTGAGCTTTTTTGCTGAAGGCTAGCACTCTGCTACTTTAAGCCATAGCTCCACTTCCAGTTTTCTGGGGGTTAATAGAAGGTAAGAGTCTCATGTACTTTCCTGCCTGGGCTGGCTTTGAATCATGATCCTCAGATCTCAGCCTCCTGAGTAGCTAGGATTACAGGTGTGAGCTACCAGCTCCTATCATGATTTACTCATTTTTGTAGTAGTGCTATAAAGATGTTTCACTCATTTCTTCGGCCTGTGTAAAGTTCTGGCTTAAGGAGGACAGGTTAACTGATGGTGGCAGGATGTAACAAAATCTGCCAGATCTTCTTTATTGCCTACAAAGAAGACCTAAATAATCAAACTAATTTAAAGAGATCAGTAGGGCTGGACACTGGTAGTTCATGTCTAGATGTTGGTGTGTGTCTAAGTATCTATATAATTGTTTTAACCACAAAATTTGTTGAGAAATTAAAGCCAGAGGTGTGAAATCCTCATTTAAGAGTCTATGAAGTAAATCTAGTTTGTGTTAAACTTCGTTGTGCTTTTTTGGGTGGGATGTACAATGAGTTTTGTTGTCATTCTTCTTGACTATGGCCCAGAATTCCTCCTGCTTGAGAATGTGGTACACCACTTCAAGTACCCCTGTGTACTGGACTTGAAGATGGGCACTCGGCAGCATGGAGATGACGCATCTGCTGAGAAAGCAGCCCGGCAGATGAGGAAGTGCGAGCAGAGCACATCTGCTACACTGGGGGTCAGGGTCTGTGGCATGCAGGTAAGTCACCACCACTTGAAAGCCTAGCGCTACCACTTGCATGTTTTAGGTTGGGCCCATACCTGCCTGCCACCCATGCCAAGTGTCCTGGCCCCACTCTTCCAGAGGCTCCTCGAGAGGGTGAGTTCCCCACAGGGTGCTGAGCATGTCCTTGTAGATAGGATCCCTGAGTCCTGCAGTCTTACCTGTTGACAGATGCAGATTTGGCAGGTGCAGATTTGTTGTGAGAGCTTGACCTGGGGACACGTTAAGACTTGCTGGTCAGCAGCTAGTAAAGACTCTAGCTGAAGCCAGACACCCATGGCTCATACCTATCGTTCTAGCTACTCAGGAGGCTGAGCTCCAAGGATGGGGCTTGAAGCCAGCCCAGACAGGAAAGTCTGTGAGAGAGATTCTTATCTCCAATTAACCACCAAAAAGCTGAAAGTGGATCTGGCTCAAGTGGTAGAAGGCTAGCCTTGAGTAAAAAAGGTCAGCGCACCCAGGCTCTGAATTTAAGCCCTAGTACTGGCATGGAAAAAAAAACAAAAAACCGTCTAGCAAGTGAGCCCCACAGCTGCTTAGAGTAGGACTTCAAAGATAAAGGCTTTAGGCCAGTGCTGGCCTGTGTAATTGTGATGGGAAAACCCTGGGTAAATGTAGCCTACGCCTGTTCCAGTGGAGGAGCTGCAGGGCCAAGATTGGTGGTGCTCACCCTGTTTGTCTCCTGGAATTTCAGGTGTACCAGCTGGATACAGGTCATTACCTCTGCAGGAACAAGTACTATGGCCGTGGGCTCTCCATTGAAGGCTTCCGCAATGCCCTCTATCAGTACCTACATAATGGCCTGGACCTGAGACGTGACCTCTTTGAGCCTATCCTGAGCAAACTGCGGGGCCTCAAAGCTGTGCTGGAGCGGCAGGCCTCCTACCGCTTCTACTCCAGTTCTCTGCTTGTCATCTATGATGGCAAGGAATGCCGATCTGAGCTGCGTCTCAAGCACCCGGACATGGGGCTCTCGGAGGGGGCACCACTCTGTGGGCCCAGTACCAGCCCCAGCAGCACCAACCCTGAGGCTGGCCTCTCCTCTCCACCCAAAGTGGATGTCCGCATGATTGACTTTGCACACAGCACGTTCAAGGGCTTCCGGGATGACCCCACTGTGCATGATGGGCCAGACAGAGGCTATGTGTTTGGCCTGGAGAATCTCATCAGCATCATGGAACAGATGCGGGACGAGAACCAGTAGGCCCCGTCTTGGGCTCCAGGCCCCCTTCCTCTCCACCGCAGGCAGGGACCACTGCTCTGAATGTGCCGTGAGGACACACAGACTTGCTTTTAAAGGGTTATATTTCTCTTTGGTGTAAACTAAAAGAAATGTTTTTAGCTGTAGCCTGGAATCCATATATATAAAGTGAAGGAGGGCAGAAAACATCCGTCCTCTCAGCCAGGCTCCTCAGCTCGGTGGCTTTGATTGCTGTGTCCAGGCTGACTTAGGAAAGAAGAGGTGCCCCTGGTGGGCTTGGCAGCGGAGACAGGATACCCTTGGACTTTGGTTCCTCTTGCCTAGTCTTTGGGGGGTCTGTGGTTGCAGGGCCCTGCTGCTGATGAAGCCCTGGGCTGGCACAGGGTCCTTCCATTTCTTGTTTCCCAGAAGTAGAGGGGACTGGGGAGCCTATCTCTTGTAGGCTTGCCGGTCTCATGTTGGTGTCAGCTAGCTCTTGAACAGAGGCCCTCAGGATACCCCAGGGCGAACTACAAAGCTGGACCCATGCTTAGGTCCGATCTTGGTATGGGGCTGGATTTATGAAACTGAGCTGAAGCCAACTGACAAGAGGGCAAGCCTGGGGTTCCCTAGCCACCAACTGGCTCGTGAACCTGTTCCTCCTCTGCCCCACAGCCCCAGCCAGCCTTTCTCACCAAGATCTCTTGCTAAGAGAGGCTACTCCCTTCTGCTTCACGGGGACACAGCTCTGTTTTCCGAGGAGAGTTGGTGTCCCCATAGGTCTCAGGGCCTCTAGGGGCTCTGGCCCAGACAGTATTTCAGTTCTTGTGCTTGTGGATGGGAGTCTCCCTCCGTCCCTCCATCTAGTTTGGGCAGCTGTGCTGCCTGTGGATGGGCTGCTTCTCCTAGGGTTCAAGGGCTGTGGTCCGCTCAGGGTTGTACACTTCCCCAGGCCAAGCTCAAAGCAGGAGCCCATTATGGGGAGCATTCCAGGCCCTGAGCTTGGAAAGGGAGAACTTTAACCTTGTCTGCTTTTAGGACATCGGGCCCTGGTGCAAGTGCCCAGATTCTGCTAATGGGAGCTTTGTCTGCTTAATCCTAGTCAGTTTGTTCATTTGTCCACCTGCCAGCCCCCTTCTCATGGGGAGCCTTCCCTTAGGGTGTAGCCTTGCTTGTTAGTATATATTGATTTCCGTCATGCTTTCCTCAGCAAAATACTCCTGTTTCTGATGTGAGTGAGCTTTTGCCCCTATGCCCTTCCTCAGAAGATACCACCTTTTTATAAAGTCCTGGTAACAGAATGAATTGCAGGTAAAGTTTCCCTGCTTACTTAACACCTTCCCTATGGGTCTGGAGTATGGCTTTCAGTAGTGATGTTGGGACAGTGAAAATTCAAGGAGCGATCTTATCCCATGGTTCTAGTCTTTTTTTTTTTTTTGCTGCCAGCCCTTTTGTGACAAAACCTGCTGTCTGTAACACAGGCAACAGTGGTTACACTACACTCAGCCATTGTCAAGGTTAGCACCCTCCAAGCCTAGGGCCACTGTCTCACTTTGACATGTCCCTGTTTGGGCATTCAAGGTAAGCCTGCCAGCCTGTGTCTGTGAGAGGCATTGGTAAATGATGGACAAATTCTTCAGTCCGTACAGATCCATCCTTGACTGATTCAATCTCTTGGACTTGAGACTCCCCTGTCAGTGGTGGGCAGGTTCCCATTGCTTGGGCCTGGGAGGTACAGCTTTGTCTTTTGTCTACACTAAGGAAGAGCTGCTGTCTTCCCATCCCCTGTGGCTGAAGCCACAGAATGATATGGCAGAGAAGACAGTTGTTACTGACCCAGTCTTCCCTGGCAGGATAGAGGATAAGTTTGCCTTATCCACTCTGGAGATAGCTGGGGATGTGCTGTGCCTCCTTAAAATCGGGGAGCAGATGCTGCCCCATTCTGTGCTGGTCATAGTAAGGGAAGCTATACTCACTTATTCTGCCTTTGGGATTCACTGCTTTTCTCCAGGACAGGACCCCACTTTTCAGCACTTTTGATACCTGGTGATGCAGCCTTGTTGATTTGCTGGGTGGTGGCAAATGTGTGGGCACACATTTTCTGCCACTGCTTACTTGCTCTCTGATCCAGGCTACAGCCTTGTCCCTTCCAGGGCCTGCTTTCCCAGCCCCAAATTGGGACCAAAGTGCAACTCGGGATCATGGGCTGGGGAGCCCAGGTCACCCATGCAAGTTTTCCGCGAAGCCCCTGCCGACACCAGTCCAGCGTGAGGGGAATGGGGTGGGGTAGGTGGTGCTTACAGGGGGATGGGACCAGTAGTAGCAACTTGCCAGGGACCCCCCACCTCTGCCATTCTCGGCCAGTGGAATGGGGGTGGGGATTTTAGCGCCGCTCGCGCTCGCTCCTGGCCACGTGCACGTTTCCTGGATGCAGATTGCACTGAACTTTGCAGCTGTACAATGTGGTTATGTCGGGGGGTGGGGGGAGGAGAGCCCTGGGAAGGACCTGGTCCTTTTGCTTCTCCGGGGAAATGTAAGACCTCGCTCCCTGCTTCTCTTTCCTGGAAGCTAAGCCTGTCCCGCCGTCCGTCCCGCGCCCGTAGGCCTGCACCCGGATACTCCTCGTGGCTTCGGTTGCGTTTAGGCACAGTTGTGTTTCCTCCAGATCTTGGAAGGGGGTTCGGGCGGAGCCTACCCCTTTCTGTACATCTAGTGCTGCCCGCCCGCTTGTGTCTGAGGTCGTATACGTCCAAATAAAACCGCTAGAAACTGAAGTTTGTTCGGGTTTTTGTAAAAATCCCACAGCTTCCGGGTGGGCTGGTTCAGAACCACCGGCGGTCCGGGCGAGCCGCCTCCCGGAGCCGGGGAGCCTGGGCGAGGCCCGGGCTGGCGGGCTGGCGGGCTGGCGGGCTGGCTGGCTGGGGCCGGAAGCTGCCGCGTGGGGCCGGAGAACCCGGCCTCACCCTTGGCGCCAGCTCCGCCTTCGGATGCACCAATGAGCAGCTGACCCGCGGGTTCACCCCGGTCCCCACGGCAACCTGGAGCGTTCGCGTTTTCATTGGCTACGTCTGCAGCCACGCTGCGCTCGCAGATCCGGCGCCGGCGGCTGTGCCACGTAGGCGGCATCCGATTGGCTCGTCCGGATTACGTCACTGCCCGCGCCGCGTCCGGCCGAAGTTCCGGGCTAGCGGCCCTACAATTCGCGTCGCTTTCGGGGTGCTGGCGGCCGTGCCCCGCGTCCGGACTGACCCGGAGGACGAGCCGGGACTCGAGTTGTTCCGTCTAACTGGTAAGAGGAACAGGTCCGAGCACGGCGGCGAAAGTTGCTCGGCCGAGGCCGACCGGACGGGCTCAGGCACCTCGGCGTCCGGGACCCCATCCCGCCGCCCGCAGGCGCCATGAAGGCGCTCATCCTGGTGGGCGGCTACGGGACGCGGCTACGGCCGCTGACGTTGAGCACCCCGAAACCACTGGTGGACTTCTGCAATAAGCCCATCTTGCTGCACCAAGTAGAGGCGCTTGCAGCGGTAAGGCTCGGGGTCTGACCTGGTGGGAAGAGCGACGAACGGCGCCTGGAAATGAGGGGTGTATACCTTCCGCCTGGAGCCTGTCTGAGTCTCGTTCTGTTCGACAGGCAGGCGTGGACCACGTGATCCTGGCTGTGAGCTACATGTCACAGGTGCTGGAGAAGGAAATGAAGGCTCAGGAGCAGAGGGTGAGTCACGGACCCAGCCCTTTCCCTTGGTCTCTGCTCAGCTTCAGTCCTTGAAGGGCGAACCTCATGGGGTGGCTTTTTCCTTCCAGCTGGGAATCCGAATCTCCATGTCCCATGAAGAGGAACCTTTGGGGACAGGTCAGTGCAGACAGGGAGACGACTTGGATAGGGTCTAAGGCTAGGCAGAATATATGATCTAGCCTAGAATGGGGTCTGCTAAGTCTGGGATTCAGGTTCTCAGCCCCCCAGCAAGCTGATGATCTGCTCCTTTCAGCTGGACCCCTAGCACTAGCCCGAGACCTGCTCTGTGAGACTTCAGACCCTTTCTTCGTCCTCAACAGTGATGTCATTTGTGATTTTCCCTTTCAAGCCATGGTGCAGTTTCATCGGCACCATGGCCAGGAGGGCACCATTTTGGTAAGGGACTAAGTTTTCCTTCTCCTTTGCCATTCTCACAAGGCCCTAGCCTTGAACACTCTCAGTATGTTGTTGAGGGTGTGTGTGTGTATAGAGACCTGCATTATGTTTTTAAGTGTTTAGGTTAGGATCCTTAAGCGGATATTGAATATCAAGGCTCATTACTAGGCTTGTGGTTCCCCTGTGTTCAGGTGACCAAGGTGGAAGAACCTTCCAAGTATGGTGTGGTGGTATGTGAGGCTGACACGGGCCGCATTCACCGGTTTGTGGAGAAGCCACAGGTATTTGTGTCGAATAAGATCAACGCAGGCATGTACATCCTGAGCCCTGCTGTGTTGCGACGCATCCAGGTATATATAGGAGGCAGCTGCGTGGTGGTTTAGGGTAGAGTGGGCCTCTGCTGCCATGATTCTGCTCACAAGCTGCCTATTCCCACAGCTGCAGCCAACTTCCATTGAGAAGGAGGTCTTCCCTGTTATGGCCAAGGAAGGGCAGCTATATGCAATGGAGCTGCAGGGTGAGTCAAGGAGGTCCTCAGGGTGGGGGTGGTCTGTGGCTGGCTCTTAGCCTCCTGATGTGTCCTTTACAGGCTTTTGGATGGACATTGGGCAACCCAAGGATTTCCTCACCGGCATGTGCCTCTTCTTGCAATCAGTGAGACAGAAGCAACCAGACCGGCTGTGCTCAGGCCCTGGCATTGTGGGCAATGTGCTTGTGGTAAGGCCCTTGCCCAGATCATGAATCCCCTCAGCTTTAGGAAGCAAATGGTACACTTCTCTTTATTTAGTGCCAGTCCTGGGGCTTGAACTCAGAGCATGGGCAAAAGCAAGATATGAATCCCCTCAGATTTAGAAAGCAAATGCTTACTTTTATTTATTTAGTGCCTGTCCTGCGACTTGAACTCAGGACCTGGACACTGTCCCTGGGCGTCTTTTGCTCAGAGCTAGCACTCAACCACTTGAGCCACAGCCCTGCTTTCACCTTTTTTGGTAGTTTATTGGGGACAAATGTCTCAGGAACTTTCCTGCCAGGGCTGGCTTCAACCCACAATCCTCAGGTTTCAGCCTCCTGATTAGGATTACAGGCAGGAGGCACCTGCAGCCAGCTAAGTGGCCCACTTTTATCTCCCCATGAATCTCAGGACCCAAGTGCCCGGATTGGCCAGAACTGCAGCATTGGCCCCAATGTGAGCCTGGGTCCTGGCGTGGTGGTGGAGGATGGTGTGTGCATACGGCGGTGCACGGTGCTTCGGGATGCCCATATCCGCTCCCACTCCTGGCTAGAGTCATGTATTGTGGGCTGGCGCTGTCGTGTTGGCCAGTGGGTAAGTCTCGGGCTAGACCAGGTTGGGGAGGTGGGCAGGGAATATGTCTGCCTGACTGACAGGCCTACTTTCCCCCCCTCCCTCCTCGAGGTGCGCATGGAGAACGTAACAGTGCTGGGTGAGGATGTCATAGTTAACGATGAACTCTACCTCAATGGAGCCAGTGTGCTGCCCCACAAGTCTATTGGTGAATCAGTGCCAGAGCCTCGTATCATCATGTGAGGGAGTATGTGGGGGGGCTGGTGGAGAGCCCCCACTTCCTTGTCAGCGGGGGCGGGGGACACTGTCATGACACAGCAAAAGCCCTGGACTTGTGTCTGGGGAGGACTGGATGAGGCGGCACCCATGGGACACCTGCCTTCTCATGTGGACAGAACCTGGCAGGGTACCTGCTGGGCACTCCCCACAAACCCCTCTCCCTCAAAAAGGGCCGGGGCCAGGGTTATATGGAATAATAATTTAATGTTCACTGCACCCCTGACTGAAAGTCAAGCTCAGGCATAATTAGGGCCGTGGCTGGGGTTCCACTGAGGCTGCTCGCAGGTAAGGAGGCGGATGGGCGGGATGAGGGCCATGGGGACAGAGCCAAGGGAGCTCTTAAACAGGGCTCGCCTGGGTGGGTTCAGGGGTGGAAGCTGGTCTGTAAGCTGTGTGCATTAGGCAACCTAGGCAGCTGAGGTGGTGCTTGTGCTGGCTCCCTTGTCCCAGTCCTCTACCGACACGATGGTGGCTTTGCAGAAGAAGCAGTCCTTGTTGTTCATCAGGTGCTGGTTGATGCAGGCTCTACGACAGGAGGGAGGAGGCTGCCGGGGTGCTCCCATGGCCCCAACCCCACTCCAGGGGGCCCACTTACTTGCAAGACTTATGGCCACAGGGCTGGAACACAGCAGAGATGGGGTGGGCATAGCAGATTGGGCAGAGATCCTCCTCGCTGGTGGGCTACAGGGAGGAGCGAAGGGTAGGGTGGTGGGCTGGATATCTATGCCTGTGTGCGTGTGCGTGTGCGCACACATGTCTTAAAAGTGGCATGGAGGGCTGGGCAGGTGGCTCAGTGGTAGAGCGCTTGCCTTGCATGCCCTGAGGCCCTGGGTTCAATTCCTCAGCACCACAGAAGCAAAAAGAAAAAAATCCCTCCTCTTAGTCTGTGGGCAGGTGCCTCGAATGAGCTGCAGCCCACACTGACCACCAAGTAGAGGAGCCAAAAGCCATGGGCTGGGAAGGTGGCTCAGTGGTAGAGCGCTTGCCTTGCATGCCTGAGGCCCTGGGTTCGATTCCTCAGCACCACATAAGCAAAAAGAAAACTCCCTCCTCTTAGTCTGTGGGCAGGTGCCTCCAATGAGCTGTAGCCCACACTGACCAAGTAGAGGAGCTAAAAGCCGTGGGCTGGGAAGGTGGCTCAGTGGTAGAGTGCTTGCCTTGTGTGCATGAGGCCCTGGGTTTGCTTCCTCAGCACCACATAAGCAGAAAAAGCTGGAAGTGGTGCTGTGGCTCAAGTGGTAGAGCGCTAGCTGAGGGACAGCGCCCAGGCCCAGAGTTCAGGCCCCACAACCGGACCCCCCTCCCCAATAAAAAAGTGGCAGGGAGCTGGGCGCTCTGCTCACCAGGGATGCAGCTGCGGCCTGGGCGGATGCAGCTGTCAGGTGTGCCAACATCTGTTCCACTTGGGCCAGCTCCTCAGCGCTGATATAATCGGTATCTGGGTTAGTGGTAGGTGGTGTCAGGCTCCATGTGGCCTCTTGAATTATTCCCAGCCTGGGAGTTTGCTGTGCTGGAGGGTCGTGAATCCAGCCAATCCCAAACGTCTTCCCTAACCCACGCCTGCCCACTTACAGCTCTGCAGGGAGAAGCGCTTCCGGTCAGGGGCAGGCAAGGTAGTGCCAGGTGCTGGGGGCTCTGGCTGCCCCAGGAGATAGCATATGGAACGGAGCTGGAAGCAGGGGTCAGCCAGGAGCACTGACGTGGCTCTCTCTGTCCTATGTAGGGGAGGGTTGCATGGGTTGTCAAAAAGCTTGGGGGGGGGGGGTCTGCCTGAAAGTTGAGTCCTGGATCCCAGTGAGATCCCATACAGCCCAGATCAAAAGCCCAGAATACGAGACACCAGAGCAACATCACCTAACAAAGAGCAGCTTGAAGACATTCTCCCTAGAGTCCCCTTTTTAGCTGAGATTGAAGGCTGCTGGCCCCCTGTGGGAACCCTTTCTGGTGACCACGTGGGGCAAGCTTGGGGAAAGCCGACGCCCCGCCCTCTTGCGGCAGTAGCCAATAGGCGCCTAGGTCCACGCCCCTAGGCCGTCCCGGGGGTGAGGGCTCCGGGCGCCGCGCGCGGCTGGAGCGGCAGGGAGCGGAGCGCAGCCCGCCTCACAGCCCATCCACGCCGAGAGGAGCCTGCCGTTCCCTTCCCCTAGCCATGGGCCACCCAGAGGCGAGCGGAGCTGGCCAGAGCAGCAGTGGGTGAGTGTGGAGCCGGGGGTCCGCGCGGAGCCGCTCCTCCCGGGGTCGCCGCCATGGTCTGGCTGGCGCCGCTGGGCGCCCTGCTGTGCGCGCT